GCCAGAGGCTCTCTCACTGGATTGTACAGGCTATTTCTTTAGCTTATTCTTGCAGGGGCTCTCAGCCTCCCGAGGGCTTAAGGGCCCATTCTACCAGAAGTATGGTCACATCTTGGGCCTTGTTCAAGGGGGTGTCAGTGCAGGATATTTGTCATGCGGCATGCTGGGCTACACCGCACACGTTTCACACCTCACTCTGCTATCAAAGAACTAGGGATTACATCAAGTAACCCAAAGATTCCTGCAGACCTACAGATGCACATTGCCTCAAAAGGCTGTTGTGTCCTGCATCTGTGCATGCATTGATCACATTTCTGTTGCAGTGTGTGCACAACAACATTTCCAGCAGGAGGGGATGTCTTTCAGGACAATCAAATTAGTTTTCATGCCATTGCAGGCGTACCTGGCATTGTAGGTGCAGTGGATGCGACACTCAACCCGGTTCATACTTGCAGCCTCTTGAATCCCATCTGCGCCTGTCGAAAAGGGTTCTTGGCACTAGGCCTAAATATCCAGGTGATAAACAACCATCAAGGACATTTTACAGACATTGTTGCCAAGTGGCCTGGGGGTACATACAGTATGGTGCTTATATGTGATCTAGCTTTGGTGTGTGTCAGACGCCAAAGAGCGGCGTGTTTGCTGGTAGCTGGTCATTGGGAGACAGCAGGTATCCTCTTAGCTAATAACTGCTGACTAATGTGTTGAATCCCCAAACCGTGACTGAGGACAGGTATGTAATAAACCCAGAATAGCGTCAGAGGCTGTAAGGAAAGAGACCACCACAGAACGTCAGTTATAATTGCAAAGGTAAAGTTTTATTAAATGCAATTCATGCAGCGATCCATCGGGTCTGGTCTGGGTTCACAAAAAGAGTTCTGCACAACTTCAAATATGTCGTATGGACACACGTTACCACACAGTGAATCTCACACCACGCAACATCCCGGTTAGGACACTGCACACAAATAGCACTACAATGCAATTTAAATCCCACACTTCAGGCACAGGCAGGAGATACGTGAGCTTGTGCAGTCCCTTCAACTGATCCCACCCCGACCACTAGCCGGCTGCGCTGCCTTCCTAAAATGCATAGAAAGCAAACAAAACAAGAACAAGATAAAAATCCTCCCTAGGGGTCTAAAGCTTTAGCGCTGGTCGGCCCTTTTCAAAACCGAGACGGAAGGGAAGTTGAACGCCGATCCAGGCCTTTGAGGACTCCGCGTTTCGCGTCTGCAGTGAAGCCCTGGCTGAGAAGCGGCCGTCACACTCATAACCCCCCAGTTCTAACTGTTGTCGCGCTACATGACATCCGGAACCAGGCCCTGCAGCCCTCTACCTGTCTTCACCGTCAGCAGCCCTAAACGGCATGTGAGGGGCACCCCACCCCCTAAACACCCGGGGGCTTAGCTTGGCGTGGTACGTCTTGTAAAGCGCCGCTGCCCAGAACACGCCACATTATCCATCCTACGTCTTTTCGCCTTTCTCTGCCCGCAGCCATCAACAACGCCCAGGTGTAGCCACATAATTAGCCCCCCTGGCCTTCCATACAAATCCCTCCACACAGTCACACGCCCACAGGTCAATTCATTACAGGTGTCACGCTACAGACCAAAGGACACAAAGTGCTGTAGAGGGAAATTTGGGCGTGTGGAAGATGTGATTTGTAGTGCCTATACAAGATTTAACCCTAAATGCTACTGTGCTTTTCTTGTTGTGTACAGTATACTGCACGACATTGCAGTAATTATTTGATTAAAATACATTCTTGGCCACCTCCTCAATAAGTTATTTCATTCCTATTGCTGCTCACCATTTAGTTTTGCTTACAAGGTAGCAACATCACATTTTTTATATTTTGAACAAATAGGTTAATTTTTTTTTTGGTCGCTTTGGT